AACCTAAGTGAGGAGATACGTTGATATATCGCACCGAAAATCCTCAAAATTTGTTCTTACAAAAGTAGTCTCTAAATATCGAAAATAAGGTCTATAATGGAGTTAGTGGAGAGCACTCACCGGTGACTGCTTGGGGATTGAATAGCTATGGCAAATATTTTTTTTTATTTAATTTTTTCTTAGGAGATTACATAGAGCAGTGGACTGTGTAAGGCTGCTGGTGTGTAACAATAAAAAAAAATACAGCATGTAATTATCAATAACAATAAAATAAAGGAAATGAAACTTCAAGATGAAAGTGCCATGACACAGATATTGGAAGTGAATTATCGCTATTAAACAATAAGTTAAAATCACAATAAAATTTAATTTTATGTCAAGTATTTTTTATTGCAGACCAAGAAGTAATGTCGAGATTTCACTAAACAATTTATTTAGTATTTTATTTAGTCAAGGTAGTAAGTTGGTGATAAGATTTCTATCCAACTATGTATAATGATGTAATGCAAGTAGGTAAACTCTACCTTAGTTTGAATTTGCATTTAAATAATACAATAATTAATTTGTTTTTATTTGAACATGGTGTGTTCCTATATTCATGATCAGATCATGGATATCAAGTCGCGGGCAGCAGACATTACGTACTTATCTTACTTCTTATTTTTAAACTGTCTAACACCAAGCGGTCACCGGTGACCACAACCTATTGTTCTTTGTGTCTATAATGACGGTACTCAACGAGTACGAACACAACGAGAACTCAACGGTATTATAAAGGCGTGTTTGTGTATGTTTGTTACTCATTCACGCCAAAACACCTGAAGGGATTAAGGTGAAATTTTGGACAGGGGTAGATTATAGTGTGGAATAACATATAGACTACGCGACTTCTATCTCACAGGTACGCGGGCAAACCCGCAGATAGTTGTGCCATAAAAGAAAAAAAAAACAACTTACTTAATAATTTCTTTCTCTTTGATAGTAGTGTCTCCGAAGAGTTCCTTCATATTGGTTCGACGCAGCAGCACAGTTACTGTCACTATGGCACCCGCTGTCACTACCGTCGAGTTCTCATCGTCAATTACTAAAACAATAATTTTAGTGAAGGTTACAACATCTTTACACAGTGGGCAATAGACAGTATTAAGTATGGTTAAAAATTATTTAAATAGATGGCACTTGTTTGTCTTCCAACTATAATTAATAATGAAAACAAAACATTCAGTTCAAACATTGTTGAATAATCAAAACCTGTTCTGTAAAATTATGTGTGATCATAGAACATAAGAAATATACGCGTCGATTTGACAATTTCTACTTTTTTGTAAAACGAATTCGACATCCAAAACTAAATACGGTAAGAATGTCTTAAACAATAACATTAATAAGTAAACATAATGCATTACCTTCAGTGTTAACCTGGAAGTGTATATAGGGCATGTTGCCGAGCACTTTCATGAGGTCTTCATATTGCTTATCATTCAAAAACCTTAGCACTTGTCTCCTCTCTTCACCAGGTAACTGGGCGAGTTGCAGTAGTGACTTAATGTGCTTCTTCCTATTTGTGAAATACTTCAGGTGATCCTCAGTGATGTATGGCAGTTGTAGCAGGGGTGACTTGTACTCCCACAAGCCTTGGACTATCATTGGAGACAGCTTCATACAATTTTCTATTGTTTCGATAGTCGGCAGGCGTGGAACTGGAAGGAAAATGTGACAATTAGATACGATATTAAATACTTAGTAGTTATAAAGACGTTGAATTGTAAATCAGAAGCTATTAAATGAAAATAAACTTTACAATCAACATTCTTTCAATATTATCACGTACGAATTTTTTATTGTCTTACGAGGCGTTAGCCATGCATTCACCGGATGCGAGCGCGAATTCATTGGTGTAATGACACTAACAAAAAATAGTTCCATACGAGAATCAGACCCGCAACTAGTGGCGTAACATTTTCCAACCACTTCGCCATATATTCAGTCAGAGCTCTACTTCATCAAATACATTCACTATCTGTACTTACTTCTCCTAGCATAAGCTAAAGCAATGAGTTGGTTGACGCAATTGACCATTTCTACGATGAGGTCTGGGCAGCGCGACACTATGTACCGACGGTCACACTCCAAGGTCTCGGGCGGCAGGCGCATGCGTGACAGGTGCGCGTGGAGTAGTGCTCGCGCCTTAATACTGTATGGTCGACATAATGGCTGCTCTTTGTTCTTTTCTCCCAAGTTTGGTAACTCACGTAGCAACTGAAATTGATATCAAGAACATAATTTAATATTCTATGTCAACAGCATAAAAAAAATTACAGAATCCGTATAGTGGTTTCGTTCCATTAAAAACTAAAACAATAATCTGTAAAAAACATTCACAAGTTGGTGACGTAAGTCAACGAAAACATATTAATATTTTTATACATACCATAGGAACCTCCTCATTATCAGTAATCCTCTCAATAATTTCTGAATTATGCCGTTTATCAAACTCGCAGGAAGCTGCAAGGATCATGAGAGCTCTCTTCAATGGCATAGATGGTGTCTTATGACAGAAATAGAAGTACATTTGTGTAGTATCTAACAAGACTTGCTCCCCAGAAAAGCGTATAGAACGGTACCACCAAGTACCAACCTGAAAATAAACAAGGTCATATATTAAGTTATCACTTCATTTCAATCAATCAGTCTTGACTTAGCATTTATAAGTATATCACTTCACCATTTATTTTTATTGGTTCCAAATCAAAAGGATTTCATGGTACAAAATCCATGAATTAAATATTTTAGGTTGAGTGTTTTTTTCTTCTATACATTATTTATTATGATTTAATTCTTCCTATACAATGAGCTTTTGTCCTGTATAGCAAGCAAAACATACATTGATTGCCACTACCATGTAACATGCATGTGCATTGCATAGCTAGCAAGTATCATAATTATTATTTTTACCACATAATCTTAAACACACAATTTAATAGTAATTGATCAAGTATAAAAAAAAAACAATTGTCATGTTCTTATGAGAGACTTATTATTTTATTAAGTTATATGCGAATCTATTTTTTATCTTATCCCTAAATATGCATGTCATTAAAATTTTATTTTTTTTCTGTTCTAAAATGAATAATGTTTATATCATTCTTTAAATATTTATAACTATTTTATGTCAGTTGTGATAATCAGCTACCTTCTGTTTTATTGATACAGCATAATCATGACCAATTTCAAGCACTGCAACTTGACTTTGATTGATAAGAGCACTGCTGGTGTGCACTCAGATAATTCAAACAAGTAAAGCTATAAGAAAGATTAAAAACTTACAGCAGTTGGCAATGCCACCATGAACACTAAGGCATAGAGACCAAGCACCCAGACACTATTCTCTTTTTCCACAATCCAACTCGGCAAGGCAATACCAAAGCTCATAGCACCAGGGCCATCAGGGTTACCATACTTCTCCCAATTCCGGCGAGCTTCATCATCAGTAAGTGCCTGAAATTATCATTCGTTTTAAGTTACAACATTCTACAAATAAGTTAACTTTAATTTAACTTTCTTAAAATGTCTTATTAGTAATTTTTGAAGTTATTGACCAGTAGGAATGCTTACCTGATAAGCTTTCGTAAGCCTCATGAAGGCCTTTTCATCACCAGTCTCTTTGTCAGGATGGAGGATCAGTGATTGTTTGCGGTATGATTTCTTTATTTCAGCTTGGGTGGCACCAGGTGGCAGGCCCAGTATATCATAAGGATCAAAGTTGGACATTTCATAGTCAAATTGTGACACTTTGTATGCCAAGAATCCAAGTAGCACCCATCCCGATATTATTGCTAATTTTATAAAGAAGTTTTTTACACCCTTGTAAGGCTGTGATTGTTCTATTATGATCTGTTTGTTTACACAATTTGGACATTGACATAATTCTGCTCGTTTTGCCGGATCTAAAAAAGTAATAACTCATTAAGTATTCCGTCAAGTTGTTTTTCATATAGGGTTTTACCACAGGCGATACTGCCGCATCGTCATCAGTGAATTACTAACATAACGGTATCTAAGTTATTACACATATGTGTGGTTAATATGGGTGAATAAAGATTCAAGTTATAATAACACGCAATATTCTTACAATTTATTAATATTTTCACACAAAACAATATTTTATCGCTGCGAAACATGAATATCTTACCTTCTTTCCTTTTCCTTGGCCAGTAATAAAATGTTGCAGGTACAAGAATCAGAGCAAGAAAAGAAAGAACAAAGTAAAAGAATGTAGATCCACTTTCATCATATTCGAATTTTTGGCCACCCATTGTTAATTTTTAATACATTGAGAATGAAAAATCATTACACGCTATACAAGTATGATTGGTAGGTAGAAGACGTGTCATGTAGCGATGGGTTGTCTTAAACTTTGACATTTCTGAAACGAATGTTGCAGGAAATGAAAAAGGCTACTTTTTTAGTTTTGAACGTTTTATTATAGGTAACAGTCACATAAAAATTGGTATATTGTTTACATACATTCATGGCATAAAAAAATATCGAAGATAGTATGTAACACTTTGTTTGTACGTTTTGGCTGTACTTTTTAATGATATTTTTACTCTTGTGAATATTGCGATCAACCATGCAACACTAGCTACCTGTCATCTGTCAAGCTGTCACATGATTTTTTATCTGTAGAACTTGCCATTCACAATCCAGCGGCAAGTCCGATATTTAGACTGCACATTCCGCTGAACAATATTATATGTCTCTAAAAACCAAAATAAAGAGTAATATTATATGAACGTTTCATCTAAATATCAAAACGATAACGATATTATATCGTCCAAAATCGATAACCAATTTTATTTTTAATGACTATGATTGTGACTACCGTGACTAGTTGACCACGACTACAGATTTTTATCGTTTTTTTTTTCTTCTTTGGCAACGATTTATAACAGGTAATGTCGAGATTTTTCAATTTTTGACATATTTGACATTGAAATTTTCAATTTTAATTTTGACAATGACAAAAAAATAAGTTGGCAGCCAAAATCGCAGTTCGCAGTTATGAAATACTGAATTATTAGTATTTATATTTCAATGAACAATAAAAACAACAACTGCGCGTGAAACAAATTACGGTATGAGTTTATAGTAAAAAGCTGCTTCTTTACTTCATCACAAAATGAAGCAATCGTGCAGAATCTGTGCTTCAATTTGCAAAAAACCTTAATTTTTTTTTTGGAAAATTTTCAGATGGCCACTAAAACTATTGCGAGTGCTACTGTGAGGGCAGTTAAGAAAAGATTACTGCCTTCTCGAGCTGCTCTAGTCTTGACTCCTTCCGCAGTGAACAAAATCAAAGAGATTATGTCGAAAGATGATGCAAAAGGCTTTATAGGTTTAAAAGTTGGTGTTCGTCAGAGAGGCTGTAATGGATTATCATACACATTGGACTATGCGAAGGGTAAAGATAAACTAGACGAAGAAGTCAAACAGGATGGAGTTACCATAATTATCGACCGAAAAGCACAATTAACATTGTTAGGTAAGTCAATAAAAACAAAAGATCTGCTGGACTAGAATAATCAGTTTTCTTGTAGGTCTTTCCTAGTTTACGGTTAATTTCCAAATTATGCAATGTGTTTGTTAATAATAGGCTTCAAATGGGTAATTATGTAACAATTAAATTAATAAAATTGATCAGCGCATCACAAAAATATTATTTCATTCCCTTATTATAATAAAAACTCTGTTGGTTGCCAAATTTGCCCACAAATGTAGTACAAACAAACACCTTGTTGTTTACTGAATAAATTACTTAAATAGATACTACATCATTTGCAGAGCTTATGATCATAACTTTTTATGCCATTTCACGATTTTAATGATTTATTATTTTTCTTTACAGGCACTGAAATGGATTTTGTTGAGAGTAAACTTTCAGCGGAGTTTGTGTTCAATAATCCAAACATAAAGGGCACATGTGGCTGTGGAGAATCTTTTAGTATATAAAATTATGTAGTATTTGCTGACTAGTCTATATTTTAATTGCATAGAGGTTACTATCAACCAATTATTGTCCTTCATATTATTCAAACACCTAAACAATTTTAACATAATTATTGCTGAATACAATACTATTTTATTGCACTTGTGCAAATACATGAATTTGGTAATATTTGCTTAAACAATAATGTATTGGAAAACACAGTTGGATTCTTCTATCTTACTTTTAGATATAGTTAAATTGAAAATGTATATTTTCTGTACCTGTTGATATTAGTGTAAAATGAAAAATAAATTTGAAAAATAAAAAAATAGCAAATGATGTGTGTATAGTTTTGTAAATCATGTAAGGTTATTGTGTACTTAGTAGTATCATACATGGCTATGATTATTTATATTATTTTGAAGCAATTATAAAAGATTTTATCTCTCCTCTTGAAGTTTTCATAACTTATTATACATTCACAATAAATGACAAAATAATTAGTAAGATGTCAATTTTGTTTGCCATGAGAATTAGTTGTACCATGTCTTTTGTCAGTACCTATTTACCTTCTGCATCTATAAATAATATGTACAAGATCTGAATTTAGTAGTTTTAGTAAAGCTAAATTTTAATTTGTTTAATTTACTGGTATTCATTATGGGAAGATATTTTGTACCGTAAAATAGGGTCAATAGGGGTCGAGAGGTGTATGGAGACAGAAGAGGGGTGAATAGATATTGGGAAATTCTTCATAGCATCGATTCACCCCTCTTCTGTCCCTATTCACCTCTCAATCCCTATACACCCCCTTTTACCATATATAATACTAGTTAAATATTGCGGTTTTGCTCTTTGGTTGGATCCTATCGATCGAAAGGTGATGATTGGTAGTCTTTCTTAATTAATACGACTATTTATCATAAAGAGAATTTTCGAGCTCGAATCCATAGTTCCAGTGATTTTAACAAACAATTTCGGCGTTGCCGTTATAATATTATTGAGTTGAACAAACAGTGAAGTGTTTAAATAAAGTACTAAACAAATTATGAGCTAATTTAATTTTCCTCTAAATTATTAAGTGACAAATGATTTTGTTATTAGTTTAATTTATTATCCTAAAAATCATTGCTCCTAAAAAATATTTGGCTGTATGGATTAAATACCTTTGCGTCAATACAACCAAAGTTGCTAAAAAAAATCTATCTATCTCCTTCGTTCAAAAGTAACATGGAGGTTGTGCCGTGAAATTAGTAGCGAAGTATATTTTTCTTTGTTTACGTGTCGAATCTGTCGAAACTATAAAAAAAGAACTAGATTTAGATTTATATTTTAGTGATTTATGGATAGAAGTCAGAGAACGCAATATATCGAATCGTTGTTGTGAAATCTGCATTGAAATGAATAACGGTGACATCGGAGGGTCTAGAAGCAGAGGCCGCGGATGGCAGCAACCCGATAATCAGCCACGGGAGCTCCGTAGGCCAAAGATCGTTGCAGAGGAATCCGCTTCCGAGGAATCAAAAGGTAAAACCAAAACAACGAATTTGATAAATACCACACTTTCCCACACCGATCTTGTGCCGTGTGACGTCGTCATACTTGGCCAGTTTATAAACTTTATAACTGCGTTCTTCGTAATTATAATACTTCAGGTGAAAGTAAGGATTTTCATTTCTAATGACGTCGCCGTGGTTTGACAAAGTCTGCTAGCCGTGCTTATACCTAATCGATTACGAAGCTATAATTCGTTTTTGGGTCAACTAGTTTTGGTATGCAACTGTATTTTTTTATATAATCGAACATGTTTAACTCATCATAACACTTTGCTTTTAGTTGAACCTTCCAAATCAAAATTGTCGGCTGATGCCAAGGAATGGTACCCGCCTAACTACACCCGGCATGTACCAACATACACACCGGATCCTGCATCTTATAGACCTCAACGGTTCTCTGTGCAAGGTCGGCTTCGTCAAGCTCAGGATCAAAATCCCTACAATTTAGAAGAAATGTCTTATTCACTTGATGAAGCTGAGAATATGGATTTAAGGGTTTGTATTAAAAAATTATAAATTTTGTGAAATTGTTTTGTGTTGAAATATTACAAAAATATTAACCCCATTTTATTGAGCAGTCTGCCGTTCCGCAGGAGAACATAGCCAACCTGATAACAGTGATGTGTGAGATAACATTTGATCCTGGCAAGTTTGACACCCTGTGTGGACCTTTGGTTGATGCCTTTGCAACAACCCTACATGATGTGAACTACACTAGACCTCTAGTTGAAGCTATTGTAAATCAGGTATAATTTGATATAAGTCACCATTTTGTAATAATATTTGTTGCTAACTTATCTGTAATGTTTATAACTAATAAGCATGTCACATGTTATTGATTTGGTAAAACTAATAAATCTAGCATAAGCAAGAGATTAGATAAATATTTTATTGATGTGTAGGGAATCTGAGACTGTTTTAACTTTTCCATTATGCTTACTTGACATGAAGATCTGATAATATCCATTTACACCTGCTTTCTGTAACCTATCTTTACATTTGCTTGCTAGAGGTAAATTTTGACTTAACCCATAAATCACCAAGCGGTCACCGGTGACCGCTTTCCACTAATATTACATTACATTATAGACCTTATTTGTAATGTTTAGAGACTACTTTTGTATGACCAAATTTAGGGGGTGGATTTCAACGGGTTAATGGATCTTAGGGTAAATGAGTAAGAATACTCACTCCCTCTAATAAACAAATCTAAAGATACATTGGAACCAATTGCTAGTTTTTGTGGTTATTCATATCATTTCAATCTTTAACATATAATTTTATTTAGAAGAAAGATATTAAACTAATGCTCTAATTAAGCTACCTCCTTGTGATAATTTGGTGAAAGCACATATACAAGATTTCAGCATGATCACTACTACTTGAAAACGTAATTAAAGTCGATAATTAATTATGAAAATATGAATCATTTCTCATATGATAGATGCTGAAAAGAAACATTATTTACAGTTTGTAGTATATCATATTTTAGATAGCAAAATATATTATGTATCAGCTTTTTAATAACCTGTTTTTTTTTTGGAGCAATATGTATATTCTCATTTTTATTATGGCAGTCGATAGCTGAACCCAACTTCCGTTATAATGGAGCAAGACTCTGTTCGATGTACGATTCCGTATCGCCGCCGGAAGAGTCCACCTTCCGCGCATGTCTGTTGGAGAGGTGTTCCACTGAGGAGAACAAGATCATCAGCGGCTTGGAGACATCAGAGGAGAACATGCGCGGGTTCGCAATGTTCCTAGCTGAGATCTACACGCAACTGGAAGATAGCCAGGTTGGTATTCCCTCTCATCATAATTACAAGGAAAAATATTTTTATGCACAGGTAATTTAAATCAATTGAAATTGTTTGGAGTTGACCTGTATAGGTAAGTTTAGATTGCGAGTAAATATTTCAATTTCCAATATAAATTTGTATTCTATTCACAGGGAGGAAGAATCAAGACTCTAGGAGAAAGTTTGTGCAAAGTATTGCTGCATTTGCTTGACACGGACAAGGAAGTGAACATCAAAGCTGTCTGTCAACTGCTCAAAGTAAGTGTATTTAGCTGTTGATGTACTAGGTATTCTCTTGTAGGTTTGTTAACTCACAAAATAGGTACCTATTCCTTGGGGAAATTAAGTCACGACGCCACTATTGCATTAGATGGGCTGATAATCTTCAATTAAAATCATTGAATGATTTATTATTTCATTACATCTAAAACTTGTGGAATGCTGAAGACTTCATCAAAGTATTATTTACACATCAAAACCTAGGGATGTGTGATGATACTAAGCAACTGTTGCTATTTTTATTGGCGTCAATTAACCAATTTTCTATCAACTAAATACTAAATGATTAACATTATTATTGATTCTAGAATGTGCCAATAATTCCCGTATTCATGCACTATTTGAAAGCGATTTTATAAATTGTAAAAACGAATAAAACGCTGATTGCCGTCGAAAACTGATGTTTGTGTAACACGCAATAAAGACAGGACGAAGTGAAATTAGAACAACTTGTACATTTGGTGTATTGACATTTTTCACGGCTCGTTTCATGCGAATTAAATCAACAATGAAACTGACTACTTGTTCATCAAGAAGCAAAAGCAACATTCTCGAAATCACAACAGGAAATTGAAAATAGCTATCTATCTAGGTATATAGCTATAGTATATTATGTTGGTCAAATCACAATTTATGAAATAGCAATATTTCTGTTGAAAACTGATCAAAATATCTTCAATTCAATGACTCAGCAGTGCTCAGACTTGTCTAGTCATTTGCATTTTTGTCGCAACGGCTATAATTTTTGTAGTCAGGAACGATACATTATACTTGAACAGTAGACTAGTTTTATTAACAAACTTATTTTTAATCATTATTCACGTAAAACATATTCAAAGACAAACAGTTATCGTCATAGCAATCGTAGTGGGGTCAGTCAACTTTAATATCAAGTAGATAATAATTATGTGGAATAATAAAATATCAACAGGTGGCCTTGAAAGTTCTTTGTCATACCTTCCGCAAGATATTCTGCGATTCGCGGTGATACTAGTTTTCGATGCACCTTTGTATGAATTTTAGGTAGAAACTATATTAAAGCTATGTTAAGTATAGCAAAATTTTAATGCATATTATGGGTACTAGGTTGCGGGTCGGTAAACTTAAATATAAGTCTAAATATAATTCTTCTTTTTTGTTATTTTTGTACTCAATAATCGGGGTTCTTTAAAGAAAAAACCCTGTAATTAAATAAAGATAAAACAGAAATTTAATGCAAATCAAAATTGATGATGGTGACTAATAAAATAAGCTGTTTTAGAAACCAATAATATTTAGCTGTGATTGAACTCATGATGATAAAGTTATTGCCAATGAAATGGGCTTGTCATTCCTAACATGTACGGCTAGATACCAACCTCATGTCCTAAGTTTGCGCAAATATACACTCGATAGCTGAGCACTAGGTGTGTTATCTATTTGCCGGGTCAACAAACTCATACTTGCAAATAAAGCCAGTACCAATCCAGTTTTGAAAAACAAATACATTATTGATTTTGAATAGGCTGCCCTAGGAAACCATGTTATGTAGATCTCTTCGGAGATGTTATTGTCAAAAGAAGCTAGGTGCATGAGTGTAATGACTATGAGAGTCAAGAACTGCTATAGTGAGCATTCTATAGTTTCTTCCTACAAAGGCGTTAGTTTATGTATGAGTAAATAAATAAATCATGGAAACAAGCTCTGTAATGTAATTGTATGTTTCAGTTGTCAGGCATAGCGCTGGATGCGGATTGTCAGTCGGGTATGCACGCGGCGTTTGAGCGGTTGAAGCGGCGCTCGTCCCTGGCGTGCGTGCGCGGCGTGGTGGAGCTGCGCGCGGCGCGGTGGGGCACGGCGGAGCCCGAGCCCGTGCCCGTGCCGCAGCCAGACTTGCGCCGCCGGTACAACTACCCCGGTGAGGATATGCAGCACTAACTTATTGTTTCCAGTTTCTCGTCTGATAGTTCAGTGTAAAATAGGGACAAGAATATGCTTAGTTCCATGCATTGACTTTTCTGTGTTGTTTTCGAGACAAGTTATGGCACGAATGCTAGTTGAATTGAGTGAAAAATAAATGTTCATCAACAACTTATTGTATTCAAGTTGTCGAAAAATTATTGTATTTTGCAATATGCTGATTGTTCAATATTTGTTATATATTTTTCCTTGTGACGATTGTTTATGTATTGAAAATGCGGAAAATAGTTTTCTGAATTCTTATTCCTGGTATCTTGTCTATGAATTGTTTACTGTTTTCTGTTATATTTAGGCACCTTCGTTACGACGCGACGTTGAACATGCAAATTTTATTCAGTTCAATTTAAATACTTAGGTCAATGTCTCCTTTAAATTTTCAAATTGATATTTCAAGTTTATTACTTTTGGTACAATAGTTTATATGTAAAGCAGTTTCCTTCAGGACCTAAATTAATTGCGTGGGTAGTGTTCACGTTTACATTGAGTACGGCTTGAGTCACGTGTCTTTTCACTTCGATAGCACTCGCCACGTGCTCCGTTCCCGTCGACTGTAACGGGCGACACAAACTATGCACGTGATTGAAGCCGTACCGTAAAACAAACTTAGGGAAAGCGAATCGACACCATGTTAATTAATCATATTCAGATGTACACGCACATTTCCATTTTCTATCTAATTGAATACGATATGTTCAACATTTTACACACAATTGAGTATCAGTCGAAAGTATTGTATGTAATGTTATTGTGTAATATAAAATCAGAATACTTTTAAGCTTAAATTGTCCCCGACTTTGGTAGCTTAAGTTGTATTCTGACAGCAATTAATGGTGAAGTAGAGAGCGGTCCGAGCGACGGTGGTTATCTGGCGGATGGGCACACCCTGACAGCGGAGGAACGAGCCTTCCTGCAGAGCAACCTGCCGCCCGGCAAGAACGTCGCGCTCGACGAGGATATACTGTGAGTAGCCTGTTTATACAACACAATAAATACTTAATTATTAGAACATTTCCCTTTAAATATTTTAATGTAAATTTTAGTAGAAGTACCATTTTGAATAGGTCTAGCATATATTATACCAAAAATTCGTTTATTAATTATAGCGAGGAGCTCGAAAACGACGCGTGGGACACCGGCATGGACGCTGAAATGCAGGCTGGCTTCTTGGAGTTCCTCAAGATGTCTAATCAAATCAAACGATAACCGCACGTCGCGACGCGCCCCTTCCCTCGCGGGGCACAGACCAAATTGCGTCTACTATGCTAGGACAATGGTGAAAAACTATAAAAAAAATATAAAATATATAAAAGTATAAAAAAGATTTAATGGGAGCGATCAATTTCGTAGCCATCTATCAACGATTTAAATGAGATTGATGTAAGAGCTTGGCGCGTACGACTACACCGCGTGCGGCCAGAGGTCGCGGCGGTGTCTCAGCACGACAGACTACGCGACTGTTATCAATACTCCTGCTAACAGTTTTCCACCTTACCTACTTAAGGGCCACAAACACTTACTTTTAGGTGCTCCATCGTAGTGATTTAAGTATCAGGATATGTACCGACTTAAAGCTTTCTTTTTTTATTTTAGATACGCTTTTGTGTATGACCAAACTAGAATAATTAAAAAAAACAGTCTTATAATTTTTACTTTTAGTGTGATATTTTAATCTTTTGGTCTGTTGTTCCGGAGGGTCTTGTGTTTACGTACAGGCGAAATACAACGTTTTTTATTAGAATAATGAGTTATTGAGTATATATATTGCATCTTAAATTGCCCAGTTATTACAATTCAATGTTATACGTAAACACATTCGACTTGTATCACATGGACTAAATGTAAACAAGTATAGGTAACTAAGTGTTTTATTTAATGAAAATGATGCTGTTGTTTTCTTGTATTGTTAAGCTGCTAATATATTTTATATATACTAGTTCCCACCACTAAATTTGACGGCCATATGTTAGAGCCATTTTCTTGTTTACATTTCGTCTATTACCTAATGTTTAGTGATCTCATTATTTCTCCATATTTTTTTCTATTTCATATTATAGAAGAAAACATTGCATTAATTTTGGGGTTTCTTCACATTTCCTCAAAAATACAGAAAATGTTGAAATAAACCTAAGTAAAATAAATATACCTTCTTTATGCAAAAAATAAGGCTAATTACTTCCATTCCATTGTAAGCAATGCCAACTGGAGAAAAATGTTACATAATAATATTGCATAAGTTAGAAGGCTGAAATTTTTTTATTTACTTAAATGACATTTTGTCCATTTTACTGATGAATTACTTATTATGATTTAATGAAATTATTAATTGATTAACCCACTTTAGGTGGGATGCATTCAAAAATACAATCAAGACTTGCTTAATACATTGTTTGGCACAAATTTCTTTAGTTTAGATTATTATTCCACTTTGTATCTATCATTATTTCCATTCAATATGAATACTGAGTCATTTGGAACATTTGACTTGTTTGCATTTTACATAATTTGTCACTTTACTCTTTAAAGAAGATCTATGTAAGTAACTAGACTACGACAACTAGCATTTGAAGTTGTTCTATTGATACTTCCAGTTGCATTTCCTCCTAACTTTTAATGGTTTATCGATGTGGTGTAGAACAATATGTTTTGCCAAATTCGTTACACTAATGTCGTGTGTTGTAATTATATTTGCCTATTTGAAGTGAGTGAGATGGTGTGTCAGTTGCCTTGAGTGTGGATTTAAACCCGAATACCTAATTGCCGATCGATAGACTACAGTGATCTGTAGAGTTAAATAATTTACAAAGCAATAATAAGCTACCTGCTAAACTAAACCATTTGTGCTGATTATATTGAACCTTTTTCGAATATATTTATGGAATACAACATTTATTTATTTGAAGCAATTAGGAAAATGTTTATAATATTCCATTGTATTTTTGTTGCAGTGATATTATGGATGTTATAAGAATAAATGGATATTTTAATAAAAGTCATTTAAATAATATTTGTTTTGTTTTATTCGTATCTTTAGGTACCTATGTCGTTATCAGCGCGACTTGCACTTATGTGTTATGGCATATTACGCAACCCTGTTATCTTTATTATTGTAATGTACTTAAGATATGCTTTTGAATGACATTCTAAACTAAATATGATCAGGCAAGACCTTGTAAGGGTTAAGTATTCCATTAGGGTCCATCAGCTGTTTGAGGTCCTTCATTAGTCCTAACGCGGATTGGTCCTTGCTGTAATGTATGTACTTGGGTTTTCTGAAGCCGATGCCGTGTTCTGCACTTATGGAGCCGTTCAGTTTGCTCACCTCTTCAAAGATGAAGGGCTCTAGCATAGATGACACTTCTTTGGTATATTGTGGTACCGTTACATTGATGTGTATGTTTCCGTCACCTGGAATACGAAATGCAATTAGTTTTAAGCATTGCCCAGTTAAGCACCCCTATGTTGTTTGTGACTAACGATTGTCTTAAACGTTCGTAGACAAATAAATGATAGTTAATTATGCCAAGTTAATTGACACAAACACATTGTTTACCTTAAACTTTATAGTCATTTATAGTTTCAGATAAACATACAATTATTGTAAATGCATAGTCATTAAAATATGTAAGCAATTAGTAAGGAGTATTTTACAAAATTTTACTAAATGGTACGACTATTTATTCGGATTTAGTTACTAACCAACGTGTCCGTAGCCGAAAACTTTTGTGGCCTTATCTCCAAGTCTCTTTTTCAATATGGGCACCAGATCGTAATAATTCTTCAACGGTATAGACACATCATATTTAAATACATAACCACCGACTAACCCCGCTGCTGCTATGCTTTCACGTAGGTTCCAGATTGTCTGCAAAGATATTAGGTGACAATAGCATTTTTAGTTCAAAGTAACGTCACGCCTTTTATTCGCCGAAGGCATACACAATGGTACCCATAAACAGTGTAGCATCCCCAATAGTAATACTTTACCTGACCTGGAAATCCAACAATAGACTTTCTCCTTTGCTGGTCAATTGCACTCGATTAATAAGACAGTCAAATTTTACCTGACTGCAGGGAGGGAGTTGGGCGTGGTGTAAAGAGTAATTGTGTCGTATAGATACTTACAACACCTTAATGCAACTGATGAAAGCTTATATGTTTGTTTCGCGGGAATATTACCTGCATCTTAGCGGGCTCCGATGTGACTGTTCCGTCCAAAATAAGCCCTGACTCCATTTCATTTGTTAGGAACCTCGTCAACTTCTCACCGTCATGAGTTTCTTCGCTTCCATGTGTTTCTACCAATACATAAAATGGATAATCTGAGATAGGGTTTCTGTAAAAGAAAAAAACGACTGTTAAATAACGCCCTATTTTGACATTTATTGGGTATCGAAGCATCGTTACTTACGGTAGCTTAAGATTTTTAGCAGTGAAGTTTATCGAGTCAAAATCGGCCATTTCAAAAGCCGATAGAATTTCACCCAACTTAGATTTGGCGCTCTTGTATAATTTTAGCACATTTTCAAAGTTTTTCACACCTGTAAGATTTTAAATAAGCATGGGTACATTTAATAAGGTCAACCAATAACCAAGTAGGAAGGCATCTTATTTACTATTGAAAATGATAACTTACCAAAGAAACCCAAATTAACAGACTTAGGAAGCACAGGGCAGTGTATAGCAACTTTGGTAACCAGCCCTAAGGTCCCTTCAGACCCTATGAAGAGATGTTTCAAATGATATCCAGTGTTATCTTTCTTTAGAGATCTGAGACAATCTATGACTGTGCCGTCAGCTTTTACCTGGAATATCGATAAATATTTATTTATCGGGACACGTGTGAGGGTACCTAAGTTGGTACCTAGTTTTTTTCCTAACTGTTGGATTGCAAAAGATGGTCTGTTCCTACCTATAGTAGAAAGTAGCTGCTACCATAAAAATACATCTTGTTTATTGACAGAAACTCCATACGATAAAAAAAATTACAAATTCTTTTTCCGCCCGATTTTATTGCAAAATCTATAGTGTAATTTGGTCATTTCAAATTATTCCTAAGGGCATTTTTCTTTCAACCGATTGACGCTCAAATATTTGAGGGAGTCACGTTTCTTATGTTACATCTGCCTTTCACATTAGGTCACTCGATACACGACACGACAGTAATGGTTTTAGAATTTGTTATAAAACCGGTTTAATACTTCACACTGAGAACTTTACTGAGCCATTACAATCAAACTTGTGGAAAATAACCGGTGGTTTTGATAACAGAAGACGAGACATACCTGTGTAACTTTATTTATTAAATAATTACCTATCATTTAGAAGGTACGGTACAAGAGTAGGTAAGTTGTACCAATAGTATGTTATGAAGATTTTTCAAGACCATACTAACTAACGCGTTACTTACGAATTTGCACAAATTTGTGCAAAAATTGTCACGTAGGTTCCAGATTTACGATTTAGCTGTTAGTGGATATCTACCACCATCCACATCTCTACAAAACATCGGTCAATTATTTTATTTTAAATAAAAGTATATAAGTATCTAGGCAGTTAAACTTAGTACTGTTTCTCTCTAAAAGAGGTTGCCGTACGTAAGCAATAAAATAAACCAGTTTACTATTAAACTCCTATGTCTACCTACCTACCTACCTATGTAATTTAGGTGTAATTCTCCGCGGATCTCCGAAGTCGACACAACAGCTTGCACCGACCGACGTGGATTACGTCATCGCTATACTTATGCATGCAGTTGGTAAATTAAAGTGTTTTGTAATGATTATGTTACCTACCAACATATATAAGTACCAATTTTTCGTAATAATAGAAGTAATACTTACACCAAACACTACCTAGATTTCGCGGTCAGAAAAGGTGTAGGTAACTAACTTTATTTTTTTAAAGCACTTAAGTCAATAGGATAGTGGTCGTCCTGCTGTGAAGTTACGGTGTCTTATCTCCTAAAGCCCTAACACCGACACGGTGAGTTGAAGCAATTGGTTGACGATTGACTGGTAATTCGACTAGAACGACTAATTTACATCATAAAAATATTTAAGCAGATCTCTTACTTACAGCTTCCACACCCAAAATGGATCCATGCAGGTTACCATATCGCAGTAACCTCAATCCACCTGCATTGGTGCTGGCATTCCCACCAATGTGGCATGTCCCTTTTGCGCCTAAATCCAAAGGCATTATAAGACCTCGTTCGCGAACATAGTTGTCTAAATTCTCAAGAACACAACCAGCTTCACAGACTAAGGCTCCTGTAAAATTGATTAAACATTGGGTGATAATGGATTGGTAGCATACATTGTAGAGGCTAGCAGTTAGGGAATTATTTGAAGTAGTTTGTTAGGGCAATGTCATTATTACCCTTCAGAGTATAGCCAGTATTCGTATTGTTACTAATATTATTGACCCGGCTTATCGAACCGAGGAACTCGTGTTCAACAACCCCGTTACGCTTACAACTACCCGCTTAAAAAAGAAGCCTGCTGTAAAATTGATAATTAAGTAAAAGGTGTACTTTAGTAAAATATAATATTATTATGATAAGTAGGTAGGTACCTGAAAGATCATCGAGGTCGATGATTTTGTTCATCAATGAAAAGCTTATCACAATTTCGTCGAATACGGGCACAGATCCACCAACGAGCCCAGTGTTCCCACCCTGCGGGCATACTGCCAGTTTTCTCTCGTTGCAATACTTAAGTATCGTTGAAACCTCTTCTGTACTTTTCGGTTTTAGGACAGCTTTTGATTGACCTAAAAATTTAGCTTAAATAAGCCAGTACATACGATATCTACTTAAGTAAAAAAGTACCCCTTAAATTGACATCCCTCTGTCCCCGGGGCCTCTTAGGCCTCCGGCAGTGCAGGACTTAATGAAGGCAGAGTTATTACCTAGTTTAATCAAAGGAGTAATAGTAAGAATGACATTATAATTTATGGCTATCGGGCATTATTTAAGTATAGATAGGTACTTTGTTTATCGTAGATAAATAACACCTTCAGCTTATGCACACGGCGATATTTAATAAAAAAACGTCCTGACGACGCAATTTTTGCACAAATTCCAGCAAATTTGTGCTTGTCAGCGCTGCTTTGCTCTATAGAGCGTGTGCAAAAAGTTTTAGTTTACGACAATACTGATCATCTTATCAATCAACGGTACCTAGTCGTTAAACTATGTCGTGTGAATTAATTTAAGAAAAATAGACTGCATATACTCTAGGACCTTTACTCGGTAACTGAACCTGAGAGCTCTAATTCGGTAGTCACTATCTCGATTAACGAGGCAGTCAAATTATGAAAACAATCTTATAACAACGTACTTACCTCTGCAATTTTTAATCCAATCTACATTGTAAGGCAAAACATCACTTTCTTCAGTCAGCACTCGATCTTGGCCAAGTACGGATCGAAAGTAATCTACATCTGATGACTCGATTCTACCGAAGTCTTTTCTATGAATGTTGTATTTTTCCTAAAAAAAGGGTCAATTTTAAACTGGCCTGAAAACTAGTTAACTTCTTAATGTGCGATTGGCAAAATCCGCAATATTTGTTCTTAATAACATCCTCCGTTAAGGTCATTCACTGATATCACCCACCAATCAAAATGGATTCTGTCTTATTTTCCTATATATTTTTCTATAGGATAATGTATCTTTCCCCGGTTGTTAGTTCCGACTCCTGAATAATTGAAACTCCATGCTATCTATTTGGTAGGTAGGTACTGAAAATATGCTAAGTAAGTAAACCGGAAAAAGACCTATTCATCCAAATCAAGAATCGAATTCAAGACCTTGTTTGTCTCTCGACTCTTGCTACTGCGAATTGAGCAACGGGGTAGGCAGTCAACTTAATAAATCTAGATTAGATATATAGAAGGTGCTCATCTCATGACCACTAAATATTTTATTCGTAAAGAAACTGCATACACATTTTTAGTACGGCACCTACTTAAAAATTATCAGAATATGTATTAGTAAAGCTATGTAAGTTAACTGATAACTGCGTACATGAATTCAATGTTAATTATGTATTCGCTACACAGTAGGTAAATAGTTAAGTAGCCTATCTATACCTAAATTCCCCATAGCATATCTAAGTATCTGCAAAAATGCTCATTTTGAATACATTATTTTGGTACCTACTCGAAATTCATAGATACAATATACAAACATTAAACATTCGTAGTAAATAACTATCTATCTATTAATGCAGTGTCTCCAAAAATGTTAATGCTAATAGGATTATTTGAAATAACAATAAATTAACTCTTACCGAAGATAACTGTGGCAGTGCTTGTGACGCATATCTAACTTGTTCCAAAAACACATTATTTTTGTTTACTAACTTCACAAACGATGCCAATGATTTTATCATTTCGAAATAAATTAATTCACACCACGCACAAAGCGACAGTAGTGCCTCACGCCGAATTAAAATTGATACTGATAAATAAACTTTGTAGATTTCAAACCTGCATAGATTGTATGATATTAGATAACGAAGAGCTCATTTAGATACGTAAACATTGTTTTGTTTGTTACGAGTATATAGGTAGGTAGTTTTACAACCAAGTTTTGACAGAAAAAATAGTATTGATTAGAATTTTACAAGTCCAACAGAATATACGAATGTAAAATAGTTAATGACTCGCTAGTCCTGAAGTCAAATCATTTAGAATACCTACATAGAGTTACGTAATCGGATAAACAGTCTGCAGTCGTGCTGCGGCGTAATAGGTCTGTTTGGTACGCATTACTGCTCTACAACTACAAATAAATTAGATATAGAAGATTCACTATACTAAATAGTGAATCTTCATATTATTAATTATTATGTTTAGCAATTTAACTATATGTTTTCTGCTGTTAGTTTAACAGCAAAGGTTATCGCCAGAACGATAATGATTACATTACAAAAATAATTAACATACAAATGGATTTCTTCCAGTTTAATTTCATGACGTCATAAAAATAAGAAAACAAACGCTGTACTTAGATGAACGGTACACTGGTACACATAAAATGTAATTAATCCTGGCCATGCATCGTCCAATAAGTCCGACAATCTATTAATTTTAAAAAAGTCAAAATATTATATTGAATACAAAATTACATGTTATGTTGACTTTACCATTGAAAATTAAATAAAATTGTTTATTACAAGTTTTTTACTACCTTCCGTTTTACTTCCATGTTTTTTACAAAATATTTTCGTTCTTGATAAGCCTTGTATTATCTGTGGGACAAATGACGTTTACGTGTCAGATTTTCTTAGTTGGTTTAGTCTGTGGTTCAGTTTGACATTTTCGATTGACAAGTGCTGTTGTGTTTTTTTAATCAAGTTCAACACGTGTTTTTAGTTTTTTAACATGGTGAAATTAAAGGCAAAAAGTGGAAAGAAGAAAGTACCTGTAGTACTTCAAAATAAGAAAGATGAACAAAATGAAGTAGTTTTGCCTCCGGTTCGAATGTCTGATGATCCGGCACCAAAACAGGTTATAACTGAAATTTCATGTTCTATCAGAATTTTACAGATAAAATTAGGTTTATATATTGACTTAGAGCTGTATACTTGAATAAATATTAATATATTAGAGCTACCTTGAGGCAACAAACATTATCGAAGCAGCTCACAGTGTTATAATCTGAACCTCTTACATTTTTAGGTGAAATGGATCAACCGGCAAAGGGTTTTAGTGTTCGCTGCACGTGGGATTAATCATCGTCATCGACATTTGATGGAAGATATCAAAAAAATAATGCCACACCACAAAACAGAATCCAAGATGGAAAGAAGTAAAAACTTGTATGTGGTTAATGAGATTAGTGAAATGAAGAACTGTAACAAGTGCATTCTCTTTGAGGGCAGGAAGATGAGAGACCTCTATTTGTGGATGTCTAACATACCTAATGGGCCCAGTGTTAAATTCTTGGTTGAAAACAGTATGTTTCTTTGCTTGAACTACCACAGCACACTTTTTGATACTTAGTACCAAATTACTTAATTCTATGCTTTCTTTTCAGTTTACACAATGGGTGAACTTAAAATGACTGGAAACTGTCTAAGGGGATCCCGGCCTCTGTTATCCTTTGACCCACAGTTTACTAAAGACCCTCATTATGCATTATTGAAGGAATTACTAACACAGACATTTGGTGTTCCTAATCATCACCCCAAGAGTCAGCCATTCTTTGATCATGTATACACTTTCATGATCTTAGATAATAGGATTTGGTTTAGGAATTACCAAATCCTTTCTGAAGATGGTGCATTAGCTGAAATCGGACCAAGATTTGTGTTAAATCCAGTAAGTTTCAATAATAATTGTATAATCAACAATTTCTTTAAATGCAGATTACTTATTTCCTGATGTCTTTCCAGGTTAAAATATTTTCTGGATCTTTTGGTGGTACAACACTATGGGAAAATCCGAAATATATAAGCCCTGCAAAATTAAGACAAGCTGCATCTAAAAAGGCTGGCAGCAAATATGAGAGGAGAATTGAAAAGAAGGCTGTCTATGAAGCTACTAAACCTGAAACTGGTTATCCTGATATAGAGGGTGCTGACTTCTTCAAAGGTGATCCTATGGAAAAGGCTAAAGAAGTTGTTGTCAAAGGTGAGTGGATGAAAATGAAAGTGTATTTTTGCAATTATTCTTAACTGCTACTATACATATCGCACCCCTAGATAAAGAGTAGCACAACTCAAAATATACATTTTTTCAGGAATGGAAAAAAACGTTTTACTCTTTTTGTATTTGATATATTTTAAAAAATCTTATACATTCTTTTATATAATTTGATGAAGATATTTATTTGAATAGTAGCTTGTCATTAAGTAGCAGCATCTCTTGTCAATTTTAATATTTTGTGTTAAGTTAGTAATCATGACAAAATCATTGCATAATAATTTTACCAACTCCAAATATGTTGATATTACTGAATATTTTTGAATTAGTACACTTTTAATATGTTTAATTTCAATCTAATATCCATCAAACATAGTAACATAACTAAATTGTGTGTTATTTTTTTCAGTATAAAATAAAAAATAAAACAAAATAATGTACTCCAAAAATTATCGTTATTTATTTTTATGTAGTTTACAAAAAATCTACAGGATAAACTTAAACAAAATATTCAACAAAGGTAACATTTCTTATAAAAATATTTTTATAAAATAAAACACAGCTCTTCTTCAGCAAAACATGAACACTTATTACTTTTTCAACTAATATTAGTCGTCAATCAGTACAACAAACGGAATCATACACTTTTTATTCAGTTAAAACTTAAACATATCTATTTACTTATCAGGCATGTATGTATGTTTGCCAAAAAATACTATAAATAGTGATTTAATCACAAAAGGACTTACTTAAAACTATTGACTTTAATTAGGAACATTATAATTATATAACTATTACTCTCTTTTTAACCATCAATATCAAACTACGTGAGAAGAAGTAAGAATAAAAGAAGAATTACTGTACTCATACCTACTGAATAATTATTTGAAAGCTAATGCATTTTTGAAATAAGAATCTACGTAAATCTGGGGGATAATTTTCTTAACAAATAAAATTTTAGTCAGCCAAAGCTGTTTTCGGGGGGAAAAATCATTCATTGACTTCTCCTGCTTTTAGTGAGGTGAAAGGGAGTGTCGTCAATTCTATAATATCGCGCTTTTTATTGGCACCTAACCGTAATTTTTGCAAATACGCTGGTTTCAAACCAGGAGAGAATTGGTGATATTGAGCTCGTCTATGATTTCTTACAAACGCTTTCTTAAAAACTGTCTCTTCATAAGACGTTTTATAAAAGAACGTTATCTGCTGATGCTTTGCAACGCGGAGTTGTTTGATGTCGTGCCATTTAATTTGTTCTCTGTTTTCATTAACAGTGAAATTGTAACTCCATTCTTCTTGCCGTGCTTTTAGATCATGGAACTCGTCATGTGTCAGTTCTTCTACATGATAAGGTTTCCCAGTTTCTTTAGCTGATCTTATCAATGTAGCGTATTGTTGTGGACAATATATTGGACCCGACTTAGTGTATCGTTTCATTTGTTTCTTAATAACGCTATGCACGTTATCTCCCTCATTTTACGAATGGCCACGAATCAAAAATTTATGAGTAATTGAGTTTACTCTCATCTTTGTTACAGCATAAGCATTTTTTGAGTTTCGTCCATCCCTTTGGTGCTCGTTTAAGGCGTTTTTAAGTTCTGATCAGACTCCAACTCCATACCACTGTTCTCAGGTTCATGTAAATTAGCCACCATCGCTTTTTGTAGTAATAGAAGACCACGACCTTTCATAATCTGTACAAAAAAAACATCAATTTGATTTAAATCACGAATACTATACTAACTCCAAAAATATGCTGTAAATGGAAGTATACGTCACTTAATTTTATTTTGCTACTATCCTTTAAAAAATACAACATCAACACGAAATATTTATGAATCAAAATAAACGTCAGCTTTGTTGTGTTAAGAATAAGAGTGATTTTAAATCTAACCAGCAATACACAACCAACTCAAATATTGTAAAATTATTTCAACAACAATAAACTATTTTCAATTAATAATATAAAAATACTTACATTGGTAGATTAATACTGGGGTAAGTAGAAATAATCAGTAGAACTGCCAAAAAAATGGCACGAGTTTAATTCAAGACCAGATTAACTAAACATAATTTACGATATGTGAGCGTAGTTAATCACGAATATTAAACCAACTCAAAATAATCCTGTCTTTATGCGTATTGACAGCATCAATTCCGTCGGCCGACATGTCGCAACTGGTGATGTGTTACTGTTGTTGGCGGGAGGGGGTGCGCGGGCAATTCACTAAAACTAACTTAAGGGGCCCTCAACGTTTTACTAATAGAGATTTTTATATAGGTGTCTTTGGAGTTTATGCAGTTTACAACGTAGATTCGTATACTAGTAATAACACGATTTTGGATTATTTCGATTTGTGCTACTCTTTATCTAGGTGTGCGATATGAGAGACAATAGAAAATACATTGTTTGTCATTTAGACCTATGTTCTGGCAATCAATGGGATATCTTCTTAATTTATTCAAACTATTATTCATATTGTATGATGTTGTTTACAGAAGAGGTAGAAGAACAAGAAAATTCTATGCAAGAAGATGACGAGGAAGGAGGAGAAGAAAGTGAACAGGTAGCAACAAAACCTGCTTTCAGTATGTTGATGAAAAAATCTAAAACAAATCCTGACAAGACAATAAGACGTAAACAACTCAAAGCTAAAAGCAAGGCGATATCTGATCAGATCAAAAAGAGGAAGCAGTTTAAAAAGAAAAAACCTGGTAAATCGTAATAATAAAACTTTATTTTCCACACAATGATTTTTATTTTGTGTATGTATTATGGATAGGTAGAACGGAATTACTTACATTCTATTACGGAAGAACAAGATTGGTAAACAAATTTAGTATAATTATGGCATACAATCAAGGGTATGGCTTTCGTCGATTGATTAGATCTTCTGAAATTCGAGACAACACTACTTACCTATTTTCTAAATACATATTGTTGTGCAAACAGCATGTAATGTACAGACTTTGCAAGAGATTCACTAAATACACATTATAATCTCTTATATTGTAAAATGATTATGCTGGATTGGAGAATTATTGTTTCAATTGACCTTTTCGCCGCCAACGCACACAAAACGCAATGCCTCGCCGAGCGCCAAGCTATAAAATGTATAACTAAATATACAGTAAACAGTAGTGATGGGGATATCGTCATATCGATGAATAAGATTTGTACGCGTAAAGTTAAGATTTTAAAGTTGATTTTACGAAAGTAAATAAAAACTGATGAAATATTTCCAGATTTGTTTTATGTCACAGTATCCTTCATAAGAAAAAAACAGTATAAATTATGAGTATTAAAGAAACTAATACATAATTAGAACTATAAGGAATGGGGTACAACTCTATTTGTTTCGTGATCTCATTCTTTAACTTCATATCAAGGTATTGGCACTGAGGGCACGTTGAATTCCTGATCAGGGATGGGGTCTATGGTCTTTCTTCTATTTTTGTTTATTCCTGTGTTTTTTTAATAACTTCAGTCAAAGTTTTTTACCGTAGGTATCTAAGTGGCAGAATTTTTAATTGTTTTTAAAGTGTTTTTTGAAATGGAAAGTAAGTATATATTTAAATTCTATTACCCTTGAAGCCGTGTACTTATCCAAGCATTGTTTTTTAAGTTCATAATATCTACAATATAACGTTACGTTTCATCATCTATGATTTTTAGACGAATTGCAATTAGGTTTCATTTTTTTTTATTTAAAAAGAATTTCTAAAAAAGTTTAAATTACAGTGCTTACTGTATTTACCATAATAGTGTAAAGAATACAAAAACAGTACCTAAATCTACTGAAATTACAGTGCATCTGGAGATACTGGGCTCATCGAACATTTTATATACTTATTGAATTACTACTCTTTGATGAATAAACATTATTATTATCATCCAGTTAGACATATCTCAGAGTTATATCTTCTGGTTCAATGTTATCCACAATTTTGAGTATTTACTCAGAGTCCGATTCCACACCTTGCAAAATTTTTAGAAGTTCGTCCGAATCAAGTTCTTCACTCATTTTTCTATTTGTTTTATGTAAAAGAAAGAAAGATGCGTGCTCGGGAATCCGATGTTGTGCTGCACTGTGCCAAACTTGCCAAAGTGACCTTGACAGCCGCACGCCTATGACGTCACTGAGCAACTTCTATAGTAGTTCGTGTTCGTGGCACTCGGTGGCGCACAGGGGCATAGACGACCAATTGTTTTGTAGAGATGGGAAAATAACTATCGACAAGAATTGGTAACAACTTTATAAGAAATCACGTATCGGCATCTACCTGAAGGTAGAAATTCATCTACTATCCTTTGTAATTAAGTATATAGGTAACTAAGTTCATAATTAATTGACCTCAAATTGTTTTCGATATCCGTAACTTTCTGTATTCATAAAATCTTCGATGGTGAAATCAACCTTTCACGGCACATCACTGGCCAACTTGATATGAAGTGATTGGCGTCTTGAGGAAAGTAACAAAATTCAGAGTTTCTGTTTTTGCCGATTTTAGGACAAACTAGGGCTTATTTTGTGTAGTGAAATAAAAAACAGGGTATTAGACAGTGCTATCTTAAATAATAAAATGAAATAAAGCATTTAATCACAGTAAATTTATTTTAATAAGATGGTTAAAATGAACAACTTCTATAGAAGTTGTGGCGCTGGTGGCACGAAAATCCCAAACTTCTATAGAAGTGCTTGGCGTGAAAAGATTAATGGACGGTTAAATTCATTTCAAAAACATGAAACTAGTCAAATTATGCTAAAATACTATGATAAAAGTTGATAAAAAATTGAGCACCCTATTAAAAAAATCTGTAAAATCTGAATGTAATAAAACTATGCATTTAACATAATTATCTGTCGCAACATGATTATACCATTCATTATAAATGTATTTGTTATTATAAAGTATTGTTAAAAACTTAACATAATTACTTAGTACTAGAAAAATAACATAACATAACATCACGCCTTTTATCCCCGAAGGGGTAGGCAGAGGTGCACGTTATACCACTGTACCTACAATGTAACACCCACTTTTCACTGTTTATGTTATAAGTCCCATGTAATAGGGGGTGAGCTTATTGCCATATACCGGGCACAATTCCAGACTCCGTGTTACTACTGAGAATTTTTTTAAAAACCCAGTAATACTTGCCCGACCCGGGAATCGAACCCGAGACCCCTTGCCCGGCAGTCGCACTTGCGACCACTCGGCCAACGAGGCAGTAGTACTAGAAAAATATAATATCAAAAATTGTACTTTATTTTTTTATTTAACACTTTTGTACAAATTTATACAATGGCGGACTTAATGCCGAATGGCATTCTCTACCAGCCAACCATAGGATGATGCAGAGAAGTGTTACAGTAGGTTTTAAACGAAGTTTGCGAAAACGAGGGTGATAAATGTACGTACATATAAAGGTATCCCAGTACATAAACTACTACTTACTGTTAACTAAACTGTAAACTACTTTAGAGGTATGTTAGCCTTTGTTCACACAACACAGACAATACACAGAAAAATATATATATTATAACAAAACAGAGGTACATAGGTACTGCATATCCCTAATTAATTGATTCCAAGACAATAGAGTCAAAACTAATAAATAAAAAAATGCAAACGCATACAGTAAGATCTAAGCACTGGAATGCAAAGTCCAACTAACATACATTGAAGTGAAACTCTTATTTAGTTTGTGCTATATAAATCATTTGTGCTAAAAATTACACTCAAAATGTTTAGTGATCTCATTATTTCTCCATATTTTTTTCTATTTCATATTATAGAAGAAAACATTGAGTCCCGAGGAATTTCCAGATATCGGCAGAAGATGAAGAAGAGATGTTATCTAGAATATGTCGGCGTTTAGCGTTACGTACCATCTGGTTACACCTATTTCGAGCGTTTTTATAGGCCGTCCAGTTCTCGACAGTGCGATCATTTTTGTGCTTTCGGAACGCGCGGTCTCTTCGCCGCATTGCCAGCTGTATGTGTCTGGTCATCCAAGGTGCGGGAGGCCGTTTTAATTTAATTTTCTTCACAGGAGCATGGCGGTCATAGAGCTCAGTCAAAGTTTTGTTAAAAACAGCGACCATGGTATCGACATCTGCAGCCTCCATCAATGGCCCCCAATCAATACTCGATGCATCCTATCTAAGTTTTTCACTATCCATCCGCGCAAAACAACCTTATGGATGTTATAAGAATAAATGTGTATTTAATAAACGTCATTTAAATAATATTTGTTTTGTTTTATTCGTATCTTTAGGTATGTCGTTATCAGCGCGACTTGCACTTATGTGTAATGGCATAATACGCAACCCTGTTATCTTTATTATTGTAATGTACTTAAAATATGCTTTTGAATGACATTCTAAACTAAATATGATCAGGCAAGACCTTGTAAGGGTTAAGTATTCCATTAGGGTCCATCAGCTGTTTCAGGTCCTTCATTAGTCCTAACGCGGATTGGTCCTTGCTGTAATGTATGTACTTGGGTTTTCTGAAGCCGATGCCGTGTTCTGCACTGATGGAGCCGTTCAGTTTGCTCACCTCTTCAAAGATGAAGGGCTCTAGCATAGATGACACTTCTTTGGTATATTGTGGTACAATTACAAAGATGTGTATATTTCCATCACCTGCGGAATACGAAATGCAATTAGTTTAAGCGTTGCCCAGTTGAGCACCCCTATATTGTTTGTGACTAACGATTGTCTTAAACGTTCGTAGACAAATAAATGATAGTTAAATTATGCCAACTTGATTGACACAAACACATTGTTTACCTTAAACTTTATAGTCATTTATAGTTTCAGATAAACATACAATTATTGTAAATTCATAGTCATTAAATATGTAAGCAATTAGTAAGGAGTATTTTACAAAATTTTACTAAATGGTACGACTATTTATTCGTATTTAGTTACTAACCAACATGTCCGAAGCCGAAAACTTTTGTGGCCTTATCTCCAAGTCTCTTTTTCAATATGGGCACCAGATCGTAATAATTCTTCAACGGTATAGATACATCATATGTTAATACATAACCACCTACTAACCCCGCTGCTGCGATGCTTTCACGTAGGTTCCAGATTGTCTGCAAAGATATTAGGTGACAATAGCATTTTTAGTTCAAAATAACGTCACGCCTTTTATTCCCCGAAGGCAAACACAATGGTACCCATAAACAGTGTAGCACCCCCAATAATAATACTTTACCTGACCTGGAAATCCAACAATAGACTTTCTCCTTTGCTGGTCAATTGCACTCGATTAATAAGACAGTCAAATTTTACCTGACTGCAGGGAGGGAGTTGGGCGTGGTGTACAGAGTAATTGTGTCGTATAGGTACTAACAACACCTTAACTCGTCGAGTACCGGTTTTGTAGACACAATTATAGAACAATAGGTTGCGGTCACCGGTGACCGCTTGGATGAAAGCTTATATGTTTGTTTCGCGGGAATATTACCTGCATCTTAGCGGGCTCCGATGTGACTGTTCCGTCCAAAATAAGCCCTGACTCCATTTCATTTGTTAGGAACCTCGTCAACTTCTCACCGTCATGAGTTTCTTCGCTTCCATGTGTTTCTACCAATACATAAAATGGATAATCTGAGATAGGGTTTCTGTAAAAGAAAAAAACGACTGTTAAATAACGCCCTATTTTGACATTTATTGGGTATCGAAGCATCGTTACTTACGGTAGCTTAAGATTTTTAGCAGTGAAGTTTATCGAGTCAAAATCGGCCATTTCAAAAGCCGATATAATTTCACCCAACTTAGATTTGGCGCTCTTGTATAATTTTAGCACATTCTCGACGTTTTTCACACCTGTAAGGTTTCAAATAAGCATGGGTACATTTAATAAGGTCGACCAATACCCTAATAAGTAGGTAGGTGTCTTATTTATTAAAATAAATAAATAAAATAAAATTTATTTTCAAACATAATAGTCTAGAATTGTGCAGTTTTGCTTAAAGCTATATAAAGTTCAGTTACTATTTCCTTAAATTGGGAAAATTGATTACTTACCAAAGAAACCCAAATTAACAGACTTAGGAAGCACAGGGCAGTGTATAGCAACTTTGGTAACCAGCCCTAGGGTACCTTCAGACCCTATGAAGAGATGTTTCAAATGATATCCAGTGTTATCTTTCTTTAGAGATCTGAGACAATCTATGACTGTGCCGTCAGCTTTTACCTGGAATATCGATAAATATTTATTTATCGGGACACGTGTGAGGGTACCTACGTTGGTACCTAGTTTTTTCCTAACTGTTGGATTGCAAAAGATGGACTGTTCCTACCTATAGTAGAAAGTAGCTGCTACCATAAAAATACATATTGTTTATTGACAGAAACTCCACACGATAAAAAAATTACAAATTCTTTTTCCGCCCGATTTTAATGCAAAATCTATAGTGTAATTTGGTCATTTCAAATTATTCCTAAGGGCATTTTTCTTTCAACCGATTGACGCTCAAATATTTGAGGGATTCACGTTTCTTATCTTACATCTGCCTTTCACATTAGGCCACTCTATACACGACACGACAGTAATGGTTTTAGAATTTGTTATAAAACCGGTTTAATACTTCACACTGAGAACTTTACTGAGCCATTACAATCAAACTTGTGGAAAATAACCGGTGGTTTTGATAACAGAAGACGAGACATACCTGTGTAACTTTATTTATTAAATAATTACCTATCATTTAGAAGGTACGGTACAAGAGTAGGTAAGTTGTACCAATAGTATGTTATGAAGATTTTTCAAGACCATACTAACTAACGCGTTACTTACGAATTTGCACAAATTTGTGCAAAAATTGTCACGTAGGTTCCAGATTTACGATTTAGCTGTTAGTGGATATCTACCACCATCCACATCTCTACAAAACATCGGTCAATTATTTTATTTTAAATAAAAGTATATAAGTATCTAGGCAGTTAAACTTAGTACTGTTTCTCTCTAAAAGAGGTTGCCGTACGTAAGCAATAAAATAAACCAGTTTACTATTAAACTCCTATGTCTACCTACCTACCTACCTATGTAATTTAGGTGTAATTCTCCGCGGATCTCCGAAGTCGACACAACAGCTTGCACCGACCGACGTGGATTACGTCATCGCTATACTTATGCATGCAGTTGGTAAATTAAAGTGTTTTGTAATGATTATGTTACCTACCAACATATATAAGTACCAATTTTTCGTAATAATAGAAGTAATACTTACACCAAACACTACCTAGATTTCGCGGTCAGAAAAGGTGTAGGTAACTAACTTTATTTTTTTAAAGCACTTAAGTCAATAGGATAGTGGTAGTCCTGCTGTGAAGTTACGGTGTCTTATCTCCTAAAGCCCTAACACCGACACGGTGAGTTGAAGCAATAGGTTGACGATTGACTGGTAACTCGACTAGGACGACTAATTTACATCATACAAATATTTAAGCAGATCTCTTACTTACAGCTTCCACACCCAAAATGGATCCATGCAGGTTACCATATCGCAGTAACCTCAATCCACCTGCATTGGTGCTGGCATTCCCACCGATGTGGCATGTCCCTTTAGCGCCTAAATCCAAAGGCATTATAAGACCTCGTTCGCGAACATAGTTGTCTAAATTCTCAAGAACACAACCAGCTTCACAGACTAAGGCTCCTGCAAAATTGATGAAACATTGGGTGATAAAGGATTGGTAGCATACCCTACATAGGTACTTGTAGCAGTGGCTAGCAGTTAGGGAATTATTTGAAGAAGTTTGTCAGGGCAATGCCATTATTACCCTTCAGAGTATAGCCAGTACTCGTATTGTTTCTAATATTATTGACCCGGCTATCGAACCCAGGAACTCGTGTTCAACAACCCCGTTACGCTTATAACTACCCGCTTAAAAGAGAAGCCTGCTCAGCCTGCTGTAAAATTGATAGTTAAGTAAAACGTGTACTTCAGTAAAATATAATATTAGGTACTAGCTTTTACCCGCGGCTTCACTCGCATCACAAAAAGATAAAAAGAAGCCTATGTGACTTATCCATCCCTTCAACTACCTTCTATACGGTTTCTTAAACGCAGTTTTTATTTTATTATTTTATCATTTTCAGTGTAAAGCTACATAATTATACCCGTTTTGTTACTTATAATCTACATAGGTGCAAAGTTCTAATCAATACAAATTATACAAGCCCAAACACAAGGTAGTTACAGTATACCGTTGAGGAGTTCCCTTAACAATTACACTTCTTCATCATCAGACCCTTAATGACAGCCACACTCTATCTAGGTGTAAAGTTCTCATCAATACAAATTAATGAAGCCCAAACACAAGGTAGTTAATATAAACCGTTGAGGAGTTCCCTCGACTGTCTGTCGGCTCTATCATCAGGTCGACTCCAGACCCTTATCAAATTGTAGTGTTTAAAAATCGTAATTGAAAAACATAATAGACGCATTACTCGCCCATAGAATTTTCGAAAGTTCCCCTCGGTTTCCCTAGGATCCCATCATCAGATCCTGACTTCATGGAAATGGGACCATCTCGGGAGTATACCCTTTCAAACAAAACAAGAATTTTGCAAATCGCTTCACGCATCTCAGAGTTATGCGCGTACATACATACAAAAAAAAAGCAACATACCGGCCGAACGTATAACCTCCTCCTTTTTTGAAGTCGGTTAATAAAAAGAAGCCTATGTGACTTATACATCCCTTCAACTACCTTCAGTTAAAAAAAAAAAAATGGTTGCCTGTAAAGTCGTTTTTACGGGCGAAGATTTTACGTGACAACGTCTTTTTCTCGGTAGAATATTTATTGATATGAATATAATTAAATTGCACAATAGGAACAAGGAATTGAATGAACTAGTGCTGCGCGCGCGGCAGACCGATCATAGTTGAGTGGGAGAGAGACGCAAGGCATTCGGCGGGCCTCTCTCTCGTTCGGTGACTCATCGTAACGTTACCGAGCGTTACACTTTTTCATAAGTGACTCCCAGCCGCAACCTAATTTAAGACGTTGTCACGTCAAAAATCACGTTAAGTACCTCCGTTTTGCCGTTTAAGACAGGCAAACAAACAAATAATTGTTCGTTCGCGTGGAAACCAAACCAAATTTCTTCAAAATCCGTTCAGCCGTTTAGCGTGAAAGATCAACGAAAGGAGTGTAACGTTGGGCTTTATATTGCAGCACCTACGTCAGGGGGTGAGATGGAAATGAGGTTCGAATGCACGAAAACTATAGGGAAAACGTTTATTAACTGAACAGGTGTCTATAAAACTATACAAAAAGGGGTTAACTTAAAATTAGTTAATGTAACCTGGTGCCTCGCGGAATAGCGGCTATGCGCTCTCGCGGTTAGTTGTCCACTGTCGTTGGCGGGGTTCGCTTTCACTCCGTTAAGGGTGCGTCTGAGCAAAGACAATAAAGGACCCTTGCGCCACTTCTGGGCCGCAGCTGGGCGGTGGTATGTCTCGCTGCCGTGAGGCATGCGCCCAAACCTAACTATTAACCCCCGTGTTACAGGAGTTATTTTCGTATTACCACAAATAGGTACCATCTTCCCATTTTAATTTAAAAGACTTCTTCCCTAAGGGTTTCATTTGCAATGTTAAACCAAAACTGAGTGGTAAACTATATTATACGTTTTATTATCGAAAACCTAACTGCTTTAGACATCTACTTAGAAATAAACCACATCACTAATCTAACCTAACTAATATGTATATACCTACTGTATCAATCAACGTAAACAATGAACAAAGCGACGGCGGCACGCAGCAAACGGCGATAAAAAAAAATAATTACTTTAGATGATAATAATATATTAATATTTACCTAGAAAAAATAGCACTTGACTAATCAAAATCAAACCCACAGAGCGAAGTGAACGAATAAAAATCAATAATGGTGCTAGATGCGCACACCGAAATATAATATAATATTGTTTCGGAAGCTCGGAACACATACATTCGCCGGTAACGAAAAGATAGCGTCATCTAACTCGATCCTAACGCCATCTATCGAGCGTTGAAACAGCAGCGTACAATATATATTGCTAATTGTTGAGTATTGTTGCCACTATGATTTCGTGTACCTTTAACAACCTAAAAAAAACTCCATAAAACTCCATAAACAACTCTATAAAATACGCAATTTAATGTAAAATGGTTGGAACCAAAATTTAAAAGCGAAAAATACTTAAAAAACACAACTCTACCCCGTTTAAATAAACTCAGCGCCATCTATCGCCAAGTAGCGTAACTACTACACAACATTACCACGTTGTGTTTCTAAGTATTTTTACATATAACACAGCAAATAAATGAGTCAAAAAGTGCACCGAATAAGTGTAGATTATCACCAAATAAGCGAGCGTGAAATTTCCAATTAGTAGGTAATTAGTTGAATTGCTTAAAAGGAATACAGCGCCATCTATTGGAATACACACAGCGTCATCTATTGGAATACACACAGCGCCATCTATACTAATATTTTTGTTTTCTCTCGAGTTAACTCATCGTAACCCTCTATTTCGATCCCTTTTGATGATATAGCAGCTAGGGCTTTATGCAACTCAGCATTTACTCAATTTACAATTGCATTGTATAATGACATTAGATAGCCAGTCTAATCGCGATCACCAGCTAAATAACATCCTGTATTGACTAATTAATATAATTAAATTGTAATTAATAAATAAATATTTTTTTAATCAAAATCCCGACCGCCGAAACATAACT